TAAAGTTGCTTAAGCGAAATCAAGGAGTTTATAAGACTGGTTTATTCATTCTTTATACGGTAGACATGTAGAACATATCCGCGTTTGTGCATCAACGTCTGTAATGTGTGCTGTAGGTGTGAAACTTTTAGGAATCTTATCCAAGTTGTAGGCTAGTCAATATTGGTCAGTCAGTCGTATCTGAGGATCCGCGAATGAAACTGTGACCACAAACACCATTAACTTAAGTGAATTATATGGCAATAATCAGCAATATGCTTTCACACAAATAGTTTCAATATGCGTTGACACAAATTACTTATTAGAATTTTTCATTGATACAACATGGCACTAAGTTGTTAGAAAATAAATGCGTAGAGACGTTATTGCTTGATGATGTCAGGAACCGATGAATCGGCTTTTTGAACCGGTTCAATGAGCCAATCTGTCCGAAAAGTACCGGTTTGCGGATATGAATCGGACTTTGCCTCACTACACCCCAACACTGCACGTTTTGCATGTCTCCTTAATCAAACACACCTGATTCAGGTCATCAGCTCATTAGTAGAGACTCCAAGACCTGAAATTGGTGTGTCAGAGAAAGGAGCCATGCAAAATGTGCAGTGTTGGGGTGCCTCCAGGACCAGGGTTGGGAACCACTGGTGTAGAGTATCTCAGGTAATACAGTCATTTATGGATTAAGTGAACGTAAACAAGTGGGTGAAAACTGAACAGTGTCAGTATTACATGCATGCCTTCCGTCTTAAAGGGACAGCATTCCTAATCAAGTACCTATCCGTGTCATTAATGTTAACCAACAAAAGATGTTAAATAAATACGTTAAGTAAACCTACTGTATCTGCAAAATTAGTTCGTATTTGTCTTATTGTCTTATTCTGCTTCTTTTTCAAAAATTATCAATTATATATATATATATATATATATATATATTATATGAACAATAATTATTATAAGTTGCTCCCTTTTCACTACTGTTAAAGGAATAGTTCACCCAAAAATGAAAGTTGTCATTTATTCAAGTTTTTCCAAATTCAGTCCTTGATTAAAATTTCTCATATAAGCTTAATTGATTTGGTCTAAAAAGAGAAGAATTAATGACTATTTTTGTTTGAAGACTACACATAAAATAACTACCAAAATAAATGTTAGTAACTGCAGTTTGACTAAAAGTAATGACTAAAAGTTGACAAAAATGCAATGACTTTTCGTAGACTAAAACTAGACTAAAACTATAAAAGACTCAAATGACTAAAATGTGACTAAGACTATTAAGCATTTTCGTCTCAAGATAAAGACTAAGACTAAATCAAAAATGCCTGTCAAAATTAACATTGTTCCTTAGTAACTGATGAGCGCCGGTATGGTAGATTCTAACTTCATTCTAACCCATGTTAAAACGGGGTAAAAAGAGTGACTGAGATATCAAAACTTGTTGAACATGTCTAAAAATAAAAACAAGTGCAGTGTCCTGTGGTTAGCTGCCACAACGACAGCAATAA